AGTCTATTTTGTGTGCTATAACTACTGTTACTCCAGAGGCTCCTCCAACTCTTCTATATTTTTTCCTATCATTTTTTTCTGTTTGCTGTTCTGATTGGGTATTTTCTTCTACCCTATCTTCCCAATGCTGATTCAATCCTTTGATTCATCTAATCTGCCACATAATGTGTTCTTCATTTCAGTTCTTGTATTTTTAATATCTGACTTGTTATTTTTATGGTTTCTATCTCTTTGTGGAAGTTCTCACCGAGTTCATCTATTCTTCCCCTAAGTTCACTGAGTATAACCAGTATTTGGAACTCTAGATTGCTCATTTCTATTTCATTTAGATCTTTTTCTGGAGTTTTGACCTAATCTTTAATTTGAAAAATATTTGTCTCCTCATTTTGGATGACTCCTTGTGTTTGTTTCCATGTATTAGGTAGACCTGTTACATCTCCCTGGCTTGGCAGAGTGGCCTACAGAGTAGGTGTTCTGTGAGGCCCGGTGGTAGTCTCCCTGTTCACCTGAGCTGGGTGCTCCAGGAGTGTCCCTTGTGTGGGTTGTGTGTGCCCTCCTGTTGAGTCTTTTTTATGATTGATATTTTGGAGAGACGGGGGCAGGTAAGAGAGAAACATCAATGTGTTGTTCCACTTATGCATTCACTGGTTGATTCTTGTATGTGCTCTGACCAGGGATTGAACCCACAACCTTGGTGTATAGACTGTTGCTTGCTGTTGGCATTGACTTTCAGGCTGACTGGCTGGGAGAGCTGGCCATGACTACACAGGACAAGCTGTTGTGCAGGAATTTACTTACACCACGGAGCTACACCATGGGTGTAGGACCTGCCCATTCTGCCCCTCTTACTAGTCTCATCGTGGCTTCTTTTTAATATCCTTAGTTATAGGACTTCTGTTCAGCTAGTCTTCATGTGGCTCTGAATGAAGTTGCTCTGTAATTTAGTTGTAATTTGATGTGCTCATGGGAGGAGGCGAGCACAGGGTTACCTACTCTGGAAGTGCCCAGACAGCTGTTCTAGGATTTTTACAAGGGTGTCTCCTCCACAAATATTGACGGTTGGCTTTCTTTTAAAGGGGACTAAAGCCTGTGTCACCATCCTGATGACATTCCTTTCTGCACGTACTCTCTTTCTGCAGAATCTCCACGTGGAACCTTGTTTCTTTAAGACTCGACTTAGACGTTGTCTGCTCTAAGAAGCTCCTGAGGTCTGTCTCTCCCGGCCAGCTCTCTCTCTGTTCTCTCTCGCACGTCTCAGACTGACCGTGTATCTTTTTCTCTCACCTGATCTGGGGCCTAAGGGAGAAGGATTGTACTTTATTCCCATTTAAGCAGTTTTAGTGCCTGGAACGTATTGTACAATGAATAAGTGTGAACTGCCTGCGATGTTAATGATGATGACAGTTAGCCTGGTGCATCTAAAGGCCGACTCGGAACCTCAGGTCTCAGACTTTAAGAGACGTGCTCTTGCCTCCGTTGCTGTGGCCAGATCAGGGCACCCTGTGCTCTCAGTGTGGGTCAGTCTTGTCACAGCAGGTAGCCATTAGCTGGACAGCTAGGTCGTGAGTCACCAGCATGACCAGCGTTTCTCTCTCCAGACACAGCATGGTAAGGAGTGAGACAGGCCTGCCTCAGATCCCCGGGACCTGGCCCAGCCCCAGCCCCTTTCCTGTGAGGCAATATCCTTAGGGGATTTATGAGGCTTAGAGCAAGGCACCGGCTATACTGGGGCCAAGGTGGCAATGCGTGGCTCGGGAATGTGGGAGGTAAAACTCTGAGCATTTCAGGCCTGTGTCCAGCCCTGAAGCATCCCTGGCTGTAGCCCCTAAGGGCATTGTAGTAATTTCACAATGTGCTGTTTCTTTCTCCCTTTTCAGGAACTGTGGGTGGAGGGAGGGGAGCCATATTCTTGGTTTATGAACCAAACGCTTTGTTTATTATTGCTCAGGACAACTGGGGGAAAAAGAAAAAGCGGAAGTAGCGGTGGGCCGTGGAAAAGAAATGGCTTTTGGTGTGTCAGGCTTGGGTTTGAAACCCAGCTTGGCCACTTATAGGCTGTGTGACTTGGGGGGAGCTGACATCACCCCACAAAGCCTCCATTGTCCCTTTCGTAAACTGGGCACAGCACACACCTTCCAAATTTCACGTGAGTCTGGAGTTGCTATGCTTAGTGCCAAGCAGGAGCGCGACCTCACCGTTCAAGTGCAATGACTGGGCTATCGTACATCCCGTGTGCTGGGCGAGGCTGACTCTGGCTTCAGCGCCACCACACCCCTCCTTCTTTTACCTAAGACTGATTTCCCGCCTTTGGAAACAATCATAAAAGATAAAAATGCTTTCCTGGGGAATCCTGCTCTCCAGGACCCTGCCGTGAAGGACGCCACAGCGATGGGTCGGGTGGCAAATGCTGGGAATACAGTTTATCTCGAGTCTGTCTTCACTGACTCATGTGGGAAAGGCTTCAAGAGAGGAGGGCGGACACCGAGAGGCCTTGGGTGGGAGCAGAACACTCTGAGTTATGCTCTCAGAAGTACCACCTACCCATTGGGTGGCCCTGAGCAAAAATAGCAATGATGAGCCTGCACGGTTTCCGGGTGGTGCACTATTTATAATGCGCTTTAAACAAGCAGCACAGAGAGGTACTTTATCTGATGTGACTTCTGTTAGGCACGGGGACACATAGCTGCCACACCGGCTGATGTTATCTCACGTTATCTGTCCAGAAACTATGAGAGGAGTGTCTTCATCTATAAACATCCTGGTTCTCCAAGAAGTGAAAGGTTTTACCACCAGTAAGTGACTGAATGAGGATCTGAAATCCCCCCAATCCTCTGATAATCAAAACTGATAGTCTCTCCCACTGAGCTCACTGCACCGTAGACATAGGGTCATCAGACACAGCAAATAGAAATATACATGATACCCAGTGCAATTTGCATTTTAGACAGGCACCTTTTTTTTTTAGCATAAGTACGTTCCAAATATTTCTTATACTTAAAAATATTTCTGATTCATCTTAAATGTAAACTTAACTGGGCATCATGCGTTTCATCTGGTCCCCTCCTCAGGAGGCTCATGTCGGGTGAGCAGGTGAGAAGTGGTACCTCCGAGCCTGTCCCCGGGCAGCCGAGGTGGTTTTCCCCACAGCGTGTCCTTCAGAAGCTGTGAGCACCCCGGTCCTCCAGGATAGGAGCTGTGAGCCTTTCAGAAAAAGGCAGGGAAAGGAAATCTCTGGAAATGAGGCTGTGTGTTCTAGATCAACTCAATATGGGTGTGGAGACTACGAAGGGGTGCTGACAGCGACGTGTACCGGGGCAGACAGCCTTGGCTGGGCAAACTCAAGTTCACCGAGCAGCTCTCACTCGGAACTCCCACGGGTCTTACCTGGAAGCCAGGGCTTCCTGAGATCCCTGCTACAGGCCGCCCCCAGGTGGGACTTTATCGATGGCATCTTGTTTAGTGCTACGCCAGTGCTGTGAGGGGTACTAACCCCATGTACTGACAGACTGAGGCAGAGAAGTCAAGGTCGTGAATGGTCATGAGTGGTGGAGCTGAATGCGATGCAGGTCTGTCTGGGCCCTACCCCAGCATCATGCTGTATGTAGTTCAGGGGAGGCAGGTGGGCCACCACCTGATGATTGACGTTCTGTGGGTACCTGTTGAGCAGTCCTGCGTAACAGTTCAAATTGTTCTTATGGTCATGCTACCTGCATCTTCCCGTCTGTTCACCTGCATCAATCTTGACTCCTCCTTCAAGGCCCATCTCAAACCCTATGTCTGCTTCCTCCCAATCATTATTTTGTTAGGAAGCCAGATCTCCCAAGTATTCATCTTACCCTCATTCACAGCGCAGGTATTTCAAATTTGGGGAAATAATGATTTTTTTGGGGTATCAATCTGGTAACTGCTGTGGCCGTTGAAATTCAAAGACTCTCAATCCTTCGCTACTTAATGGCACTGATTTGCTGGCTTTCCCCTCCTTACCCACTTGGAGTTCAGTTATCTGAGGGAAAGGACCAAGCAGAGCTATAAAAATGTGATTGCACGGCCGCTACGAGTTCCCACACTCAGATGGTTATAACCTGATGCGGGACATTCCGATTTTAACCACCTCCTGCTGTTTTTATTTCATAAAACCACTCAAAACATCCTGCACTGTGTTTGTATACATCACTGCCTTTATGGCTTCCGTGTCATAATAAAAGGCAGTTCATTGGAAGCTTAGAGTTTGTTATTTGGGGTTTTTTTCGTGGGTTTTTTTTTCCCCAATAGAAAAATAGCCCACTTGGAATAAGACATTCCTGGCTAGTTTCTCTGCCTTCTATCTCTGTCCCGTGCAGCCAACCCGTGTTCCTCCAAGCTGCCAGGCTCTTTTCCCCAAGAAGCTATGTATAAGGCCTCGCCCGGTTCAACCTTCAGAGGCTTCCTGTCACATTCATTCATTCATTGGGAGGCCCTACCCCCTGAGCCTGGCATTTAAAGATGTCCAGTATCTGGCCTCACAACGCACCCATGTGAAACACAACACCTTGTTTGCCCTTCACCTTGTTGAGGACTTAGGATTTGATGCACAATGTTCCTTCCCCACCATTGCTAGGAAGCCCTTCTGCCTGGCTTGTCCCCATCAGTTTCATTCTTTTTTAAACATAAAAACCCAGCTTTCTGTCCAACGTTTCCAGGAACTCTTCCCTGGACTTCCCCCCTCCTAACCCTTAGTAGAACTCACTGTGGCCCCTTTTCTTTCAACACAGTGAAGGTCTGCCAGTCATGTGGTCTCAGTTGTTGCTGTGTGTTCTCACTTATGTGAACCTCCAGATCTAGACCCAAGTTCCCTGAAATTGGAAAATGGGTCTTTTATCTTTATTTATCCTGCACGGAGCCTGGTGCACACTGTGTCCATGATACATTAGAAAAGGAAGGGACTCGAGGAGGAAACTCAAAGGATCCCTCCTTTTACACAGGTTCCCTGACTTGGCCACGGTCACCTGGAAGTTCATGGCGCTCACCTGAAGCCCTGCAGTGCACCTTTCAGGAATGAGGAAGAGCGAGATGGATACATGCATGCAAGGTAAGGAGATATCTGTCAAACTCTTAAAACCCGATAATAGGGAAATGATAACAATTATGTCTAGTTGGTAGAGGTGTAAGTACTCTGACCCACCAGGCTCAGCAAAAGATGACCCATGGAGACCTTGGAAGGGCAGCTGGACAGTTTCTGGGGGAAAGACATTAGGTCTTGGCAACATTAGAACCCAATAGTTATAAAGGCACATATTTAATCAGGAACCTGGACTCCCCTCCCCAGCTAATCCTCTCCTCCCACTTCAGGGGTTTGCCCTTCAGACCCCAAACCCACTTCAGCTCCAAGGACTGATAGTTAATGATATAGATTACAATGTGTCCATTAGTTATCATTATTTATTTATATCACTGTGGCATCTCTCACATGGACAGATCACCTGACAGGTGACTATCCCGGACTCTGATAATAAATATCTAGTGACAGAACTTATAACCAACCCAGGAAGCCCTTATGCTTCTCAGACTATTCTGATTCCCCTAAAGGTCCCTCATCTGATAAGGTTAGTGACTTTGTTCAGTTCATGTCAACCAACAGTTGTTGATACTGGATGGTGTGGTTGACACAGAGCCACACACGGAGGTTACGAAACAGGTGGCCCTTGTCCTCAGGGCACTCTGTCTGGGTAAACTATCACCCATGTATCCCTTCTATAAAATCTTGTATCAAACTGAACACTTGGATTATCATTGAATTATCAGCCTTACTGGCATCTAAACAATTTTCTCCCTCCCCATGAGCATCTGTCCCCTTAGCTAACCATCACAGTGCCTCCCAATCCTTACTAATGTGCCATCATCTGAGTCCTCCACATGCCTGGTCACTCCGCCCCCCTTTTGACTGCCTCTTCCTCTTGGGAATGTGTGAGTTATAAGCAAGAGCCATGTGAGCTCAGCCCTTGATGTTGGTAGAAAGTCTCCAGTACAACCATCCTTTATAGATCATACGGTAGGTCAGGTACATCAGGACCTAAGCCTTATGAGTCATCCCAGCACTGGGATATCAGCGAAGTCATTGTTTATCTAGAAAGCCTACCATCCCACCTACATAGTGGGTGGCTGTCCATCTCCAAGATAGCCTGCAGCTGAGTGGTACCTTCAGGTGTGCTTGCCCTCAGAGTCCCCCACATGCATCTTCAACGTGGGTTTCCCATACGTTCACCTGGCTTGGCCTGTTCTAAAAATTCCCACGAGGCCGCTGATATATCAGAACCTTATGGTGGGAAAGTCATTTTGGTCCAAATACAGGCTCTTCCTTAGCCACCCAGCTCAAGGGACAGTGTTTCTGTAACCTTTACTGACCTGGCTTAGCCTGTTCTAAAAATTCCCACGAGGCCACTGATATATCAGAACCTTATGGTGGGAATGTCATTTTGGTCCAAATACAGGGTCTTCCTTAGCCACCAGCTCAAGGGACAGTGTTTCTGTAACCTTTACTGAGATAATGCAATGCTTGTTAACCTGCATTCACATGTAATATCTAAGTAGTGCTTTACAGGAGAACAGTGCGTGTGTGCTTATCTGTTAGCAATATCAGGACTCAGAATGATTCATGCGTCCCACAGATTCCACTGTGTCTGTCTCTGAGCTTGGTAATGTAGTACAAAGATAAATAAGGTGCATTCTATCAGATACAATGCAGTGAGTGGGAGAGCAATTATCCGCCCCAGTTAGAAAAGCCATGGCGTTTAAGTGTTAACATCAGATAGGAGATGTCTAGGAGAAGCTGGTGTCTTTGAGGCCTACCTCGCATTGGGCCTGTGACGCTGCCACTGTCACATTGAGGCTTTCAAGTCCTATGACATACCCAGTGCACACAGGGCTCCTCTTCAGGTGGTACCAGTGAAACAAAGATGTTTATTAAAGAGTCCTAATCTCGTCACTTGAGCTCTGTGGTCAGGGTGATCTCAGGTGTGAAGTTTGGCCAACTTTCACTTCTGTGATCTTAGGCAAGTCATGTAACCTTTCTGTAGCAAACCATCTTCATATTAAAACTAAGAATTGAAGTGTGGACCACATAGGGCTGTTGTGAGAACAACAGTAAACCTGCTTACGGGAAGGCCTGCTCCCGATTCCGCTGTAATTGTTAGTCTATTTTTTATCCTGTAGGCATTATCCCACCACACAATGTAGACCCCCCGCCCCGTAAATGACACTCTTGCCCTTCTCATCTCTTAAAATGCAATCTTTAATTTGCTTCACATTTTTTTTCTCCAAACATATGTTATTTCAACTGTGTCCACACAATTGTAAAGCAGATGTTCTCTACTAAGGGTTAGACTTAGAAGACCTGGTTGTGAATTCTGTCGTCTCCTCTTCTTAACAGTGGGATCTGCATCAGCTGGCTTCCGTTGTCCCCGCCTGCGAAGAAGAGCAAGGACGTGTTGATGACAATGATGGCGAGACAAGGACATCCACCTCGCAAGCTCCTTAGGAGGGTGGTAAGACTATGATGTGATAATGGGTACAATGTTTAAACTGGAAAGTTCCCATTCGTTTTATTGGGGTAGGGGGGAATCAAATGGCATGAAGTGGCTCCAGATCACCGACAATCAGACTGTGCCCACAAATGTCAAGCTAGGACACTTTTAAAGGAATGAGCACCTATACATCCAAATCTGGTCCAGCTTCAAGATGAAGCTTCCCATCTGCCCTCTAGACCAGATCCGAGGAAACACATTGATTTTTATCATACAGGAGTGGGCCAAAGTAGGTTTACAGTAGCAAGTATGCAAAAGTATATTCTTATTATTTATTAATTATTGTATTAAATTACCATATGAACAGCTGTAGATCTACTTTTGCCCACCCCTGTATCCACCTGCAACAGGAGTGTATTCCACAGTGGGAAGACCCTCACTGCTTCTAGCTTATCATGGTCTAGTGGGACGATACTCTACTTTTAAAGCCTCCTCATTATAACCACATGGCTATTGAGACTCAGTGATGACGTAGCTTCTTACCCAGACTAAGGGTAGAACATGAGCTCAGATTTCCAGCTCCCCAGGCTGATGTTCCATGAGTGTCACGGAACTGTCGCATAAATAAGTCACCTTCATCGCGCCACGGATCCTTTCATATTTCATACAGGATTGCCTGTGACTTGGTAAGGTAGTTTGCTCAGGGTACTAGTTGGGCAATAAGAGGCCCAACATCTTTGCCTCTGTGTGGCTCACTGTGATGGACAGACATCCCTCCACGAAAGAATAGTAGTTAAGCTCTTCAGTGTCATGGAACTGTCGCATAAATAAGTCACCTTCATCGCGCCACGGATCCTTTCATATTTCATACAGGATTGCCTGTGACTTGGTAAGGTAGTTTGCTCAGGGTACTAGTTGGGCAATAAGAGGCCCAACATCTTTGCCTCTGTGTGGCTCACTGTGATGGACAGACATCCCTCCACGAAAGAATAGTAGTTAAGCTCTTCAGAGCTGGCTTAAGTCTCCTTTGCCCAGTGGAAATAAATGGGGGCGTTTATTAAAGAGCTCCTGGGGTATCTCTTCCATGAGTGTCACGGAACTGTCGCATAAATAAGTCACCTTCATCGTGCCACGGATTCTTTCATATTTCAAACAGGATTGCCTGTGACTTGGTAAGGTAGTTTGCTCAGGGTACTAGTTGGGCAATAAGAGGCCCAACATCTTTGCCTCTGTGTGGCTCACTGTGATGGACAGACATCCCTCCACGAAAGAATAGTAGTTAAGCTCTTCAGAGCTGGCTTAAGTCTCCTTTGCCCAGTGGAAATAAATGGGGGCGTTTATTAAAGAGCTCCTGGGGTATCTCACAAAATTGATGTAACAGTTGAACAGCCAAAACTAGGCACAGGAGATAAGAGGCTCGTGGGATTTCGCTAGATGCCCAAGGCCATAAGACGACTCTAGAGCAGTGCCGTCCAATGTAATATGCTATTAGGTAGTTCACACTCTAGAAGTCCCATTGCAGAGCACTGTTTGAGATGGAGGCCCTTGGAGTGCCTCTATCCATAGCACAACCAGACGTGGGCAATAAGAGGCCCACCATCTTCGCCTCTGTGTGGCTCCCTGTGATGGACAGACATCCCTCCACAAAAGAATTGTAGTTAAGCTCTTACTTCAGAGCTGTCTTAAGTCTCCTTTGCCTAGTAGAAATAAATGGGGGCGTTTATTAAAGAGCTCCTGGGGTATCTCACAAAATTGATGTAACAGTTGAACAGCCAAAACTAGGCACAGGAGATAAGAGGCTCTTGGGATTTCGCTAGATGCCCAAGGCCATAAAACGACTCTAGAGCAGTGCCGTCCAATGTAATTAAGTCCCTCAGTCACACTAGCCACATGTGGCTATGCTAGTGGGTAGTTCACGCTCTAGAAGTCCCATTGCAGAGCACTGTTCGAGATGAAGGCCCTTGGAGTGCCTCTATCCATAGCACAACCAGACTCTGGGTCTATATTTCTGGACAATCAACTGTGACTCGGGAGGGCAGAATCATGTCTCCTTGACTGGGGTGAGGATACAAGGGGTCCTACTCAGAAAAGGGGTGTATGGTCGTCTCTAAACAGCATTATTTTGCCTCCTAGAACTTTCCCGTTCAGCCCTCATGATGCTGCCAGCAACCTGGGATGATGAACGGAGATGCAGGGACGTAGAGAAAAGCTCCACCCAAGACTACAGAACAAGTGAGTGATAGACTCAGTGTTACAACCCACTTCCTGTCTCTTGTTTGTGACGTTCACATTCCTCGGTTTAAAATCAAACACATTAGGAAGGGTACTTACACGTGTTTCCTCGTGGTTCATTTTGGATAGTGTTCTTGACACATCGACGCTCTGTAAGAAGTCCCACTGGGCATGTTAATAAGAACAAAAGCCCAAACCAGACAGCACTTTTATACATCTTCATCCCAAAGTAGAGCCTAACATAGCTTGGGCTGTGTACGCCAAAAGCAAAGCATTTGCCCCGACATCAAAAGAACTGGACGCACAAACCTAATTATTGGAGTCGTTTTTACCTAACCTGGCCAGGTACACTCATCCCTGGAACATCTGTTTTCCCCTAGGAGCGGTATCTTCAGGATGAAAACTGCCATCGGTATTTGCGCCCATAGATCGACCATCAAGAAATCCTTGAATCAAGTTGCTGTGCTTGCATATCTAGGTACATGGCCTGAGGGATTTACAGCTTCTCCTTGAGTTTGTAAAATGCATTTCCTAAGGTTTCCCACACTGTCTAGCAACTTCTGTCTCATACACAACTTCAAATGGGGTTCACCCAAGAGGTTGTTACAAATGCAGGGTCTCGGGGCTCATCCCAGACCTCTGGATCAGCTCCTGTACAGTGGAACCTCGTTTCTCAAACGTCATTAGCTCAGGAAGGCTGTTTGAAAATGGAATCATTTTTTCCCATTAGAAATAATGTAAGTTGAATTAATCCATTCCAGGCCCCCAAATGATTCCCTGTTCTAACCTTTCTTATATACAGTACATGTCTATTGTACTGTTTAATCTATAAATCAACACTTTAAAAACAAAGAAATGTACAGTAAAAAATGAAAGTTTAACAATAATTATAACCCACAAAAATATTCACAGCACAATATCCTGAGATGTTAACAGTGGTAAACTGACTCATATTCATGCATCAGCATGAAAGGGTTGTCACGTTGAGAAGAGAATTGTTCAAGAAACAAGGTTCCACTGTATTTTAAGAAGATCTTCAGATGATGCCCTCGAACACTACAGTTTGGTGCTCAGGGAACATGTCAGCCCAGAGAAGCTCACCCACCCTCCGTCTGCTCGCCTTCTTTGCCGATAACGGCGGTGGCTCCCAATTGAAATGCAGGAGACCTGGCTCTCTGAAATAAAAGGGAGTCTGCCTCATGTTCCTGTGCCATATTTCATTGTCAAACAGGGAGAATCATTCCGTTAATTAACGTGGAAAACAAAATTACTCTAAATGACCCAACGCAGGTTCATTCTGCCGCTGAAACACCAGCCGTGCCAGAAACAATAACTTCCTGAAGGCTTCCTATTGCCCCACAAAGGAAGTCATTCTTGAAGGAAAAATCACAGCCCTCATAGAATGGCGTGTCGTCTGCACTCACCCATTCCATCGAAAAGTTCCTTTCCGGCCATAATTAAAATATAGAATAGCTGCTCCACGCACCAAGAATTTCCCACCTCAAACCCCTTCTCCCATTGAAACGCTGATAGGCTTTGTATGCACATATCGTGTGATTCTATAAACATACACAGGGAGGGGTCAAGCTGGAATTCCATCACAAATCCCTCAACTCTGAACACAAGCCTCTTTTCAAAAATATCAACATTTCCTTGATCAAGAGGAAAGATTGGAAGTTGAGAAAAAACAGCTCATTCTAGCCCTACGTATTTAGCTCCTGTTCTTCCTATCAGCAATTTAAAAAAACCCCACTAGCATGGGCCATACCTAACAGCATACTTTTACGTGTAAATTCTGCACATCATGACATTGGGGACTTCATTCCTTTGCGTAACTTCTCGGCCCCAGGAACCACCACCCCGGGGCTTCTGGGCTTGGTCTATTCCAGCTCCTATAAATCAACCACTTCTTCTGAGACAGAAACCTGCCTATTGCTGTTCACCAAGTCACAGGGGGGAAGGAAAGGCCTAGGGTCACACAACTCCATCACAAACCCCCTAAAACGGGCAAGTCCGACACCTTCCACTCCCTTCTATGGAAAAGCACAGGTTAGGCTCAGAGAGAAGGGACTCATTGCCTGGGAGGCCCCTGTCCCAATGGTCCCGTCCCAATGATCCTGACCTCCAGGAGCACATCCCATGAGGCTGTGCAGGGCCCGGGAGGCAGGGCTTCAGTCAGTGCCATGGAACTCCGTTATTTAAGGTGTAAACTTGAAGTTCTAGGCTGTGGAACTAACTCCTTTTAAACTCACACACGTGCAGCCCACTTGACCGCTAAGACATTGTGAGACCTTCAAAGCAAATCCCCACAAATGGAAGTTGCTCTTAAATTATTCAGAAATATGACAAAACCCATCATCCCTACCCAGGTCTGAGTCGCCCAGGGACCCCAGCAGCAGTTCAGGCACTGACTCCTCAGCCCTGGCCACTGGCCAAGAGCAGCGGCAGGTGCCCAAGTATCCTTGGCAGCCGAGCCCAGCTCCACCCACCCTCGCGGGTCTGTCCTTCTGTCTGTGGCATGCTGGGAAGACAAGGGTGCTCAATGGGGACTGTGAGGCCAGGGAACCCCCTCCCCAATACAAACACATGTTCACATATTCACCCACAGTATTTAAGAAGCAGACTAAGATGAAAGCTCTTTAAGCCACTACCCATGCCCCTGCTCGGTAATCACAAGGCTAAGCCTGTTCGCCCATGGCTCTCAACCAGTGACGGCACTGTTCCCGGTGATGGGCGGAGACCCTGCATTCGCCTCGTTGCATCCTCCCTCACATCCCTCTATTCTGAGCACTTGGTCTCCACCGAACCCTGCAGTGGACACTGGGGTGACCAAGGACATCAATAGCCTCTTTCCTCAGAGCCACCCTGACCTTGTGCGAGACGCTAAAAATAGTAGCTAGGGTGGCCCATGCTCTGGCCATCTTGCTGTAGAGACGTAACCACGGGCTATTGGAGGGCCCACATGGAGACCGGCAGAGGTCGGCACAGGAGGCTGTCCTTGAAAGGCGATTCCTTAGGTCAGTGATGAAAGGGCGGTGGAAGCAGCACAAGTGGGGTGGGGGGGCAAGAAGGGGCAGAGCAGCCTCAGGAAGGAATTGCTCAGCCACAGGAGGCAGTAATGGGGTGGGGGACCAAGTCCCACAGAAGAGCAAGGTGGACAACTTCTAGGATCCTATGTGTCATGGCTCTGCCCCTGCCACACACACCTGAGCAGGCCGTCCTGAAGAAGGACCATATCTGCCTCTGAGAGAGGGGCACCCCCAGCCTTCCCCTCCTGGTCAATAACACACAGGCCTGCCCTCGGTCCTCACATTCCAAATGCTGAGCTGCACGTGTTCCTGGAAGCTCCTGGTGCAGTCGGTCTGCAATGCGCTCTAAGTGAGCGTGAAAGAGCAGCTGACAGTTTGAGGTCATGGGCACCATCCCCGGGGGAGGGGGGAGCAGATGCAGGCAGCGTGACATGAGAAGACCGAGGAAGAGGTGGGTCCAGAGGAGAGAAGGAGGGTTCACCCCACCAGGATGAAGACCACACTGTTTGGGGGGTGACAGGACAGAGGCGGCAATGGGAGAAGGGGCTGCAGCCTCCCCTCGCCCACCCAGAAAGCTTAGGAAACTGAGCCAGGATGCAGGTCCCCAGCTGAGGTCAACCTGCCTGGGTTCCAGAGGAAATGAGACAGAAGTACAAACTGAGAGCCAGGAAAGAGGAGAAGAGTGAGGACAGGGGTTAGGCACAGAGCAGCCAGGTCCCTGAGCCATCCTGATGGAATCGCATGTCCTGGCAGGGAGCCCAGGAGACCACCTATGCGTCACTTAGGGGTTGTCTCCTCAATGCCAGCACCCACTGTGCCTGGGGGAGCCCCCTCTTTCTAATATGGGGGGACCCGTACTTATGCACTCTGTTCAAACCTCCCACATGGGCTCTGACAACACGGACCTTCAAGCCCACCTACCAGGAGGGCGAGGCTGGACCCACACCACAGCACCGGGTCCTCTGCTGGGCCAGGCTCTGAGGGAAAAGAGCCCATGGGGGGCGATGATGTCACTGTGCCAAAAGCCATACTGATGCCTACTCACCTCCCCTAATGCTGAGCCCACCCTGGGAATGGCTGCTGTTCTAGCTGGAGCCAGTCTCCCCTGTGGACAGCAAAACTCATGCCCTGGGGGCCTCATCCATGCCCTTCACCCCTGGGACTCCAACCTGGCCCCCAAACATGTGACCGGGTGGGCACCCCATGTTCTAACCCCAAACATGTCTTCCCTCCGCAAGCTGCCTGCCTCTAGGGAGACGCCCCAAGCCTCCCAGGGGTGCACAGCTGTCCGTAGTCCGAGTCTGTCACCTGCCTCCTTGGCTCCCACCTCCATCACAGGGTATGTCATCCTCCCAAGTCCTGTCATGCATCAGAGCTTGCACTTTCCGGTCATCATCCACATCACTGACAAGTACCAACATAGGACCTTCCCCTGTGACCATTTTTAGAGGCCCTACCAGCCCACACACAGAATTCTCTCTATAGGAGACACCAAAACCAAGGCTCCCAGCTGCCTCCGAAGATTGATGGGGAGGGAGGCGCTAGCAGAGAGAGGGGGCAGACAGGAGAGGGGTGAAGGCCCCATTCAGAGAGACATCCCGGCTAAATGCTGCCTCTCACATGTACTGTTATAAGACTGAATGGTTTCCTTGCGGATGAAAATGTCATGAGAGCTACTTAAGTTCTTACCATGACACATGATGACCTACTGTGTGCAGCCTGTGTCATCCCTGGGAAGTAGGAGTTACTCCCATTTCACAAAGGACAATCAGGCATGGGGACAGGAGACCTGAGCAAGAGCACACGGGGGCAACACCAGCACCAGGACTGGGTCTGGACATGCCAGGGCCTGTGGTCTCCTCTGCCTCACAGCGTCTTCCTCTGCGTCTCTCTGGCCCAAATTGAGAGGAAATGTCACGTACAATTCCTGAATCTTGAGCTTGGGAAGTCAGGCCAAGAAGTGCAGCAAATATAGTATGCGTGACATATCGGGTGGGAAGCTAAAAAATGTCAGGTTTGGAAACCACAAATTATTTTCCTTCTGTTTCCTCAAATCAGCACAAGCCCATCTGGGAGAGGCTTTCCTAAGGCAGCGCGCTGGGAACAGCCGCCTTGCAGGCCCGGCCGCCCCCTGGAGCCTCTCGTGACACCATTGAAGCAGCACGGGGAACACAAGGGTCAGGAAAAGGGAACCACCTGTGGTCCATTTCATCAGCCCTGGCAGGACCTAGAACCCTGCTCCTCAGTGCCCAGCCTCACTGAACGCCTCCCTACTTCCTTTAATAAGAACATAAGCTTTAGGAAGAGTCAAGTCCCCAGGACGACGCACTCGAAATTTCTTGCAAAGTTGTGCATGACAGGTATTAGGAGGAGGACGAGAAGAAGGCATGCTCAGCGCTTTCTATACGCTTGTCTGGGAATGTTCACATCACCCTGCAGGGCGTGTGCCGTTAGGGCTCCATTTCGCAGCTGAGGCTCAGCAGGTGTAACTGAGTTATAATCATGACTCCTAAAAGCACAGGCCACTCCTTGGGGCAAACACAGACTCATCAGAGGGAAAGCTCGTTTGGACTAAGGCAGTTGCACTATAGAACATTGGTGCAGTGGTAGATGCCTTAGAAAGAAAGAAAAATGTGATCCAGTTTCCCATTTCCA